ACAACTACGGCTGCCCGTCTGCAGCACGATGCCGCGGGTCTCAAAACACAGCGTTGCTCAGAGCTCAGCTTGCCAAGCGGCTCGCAGAGGGCAGCGCTAGACGGTGCAGGAGGTCACAGTCACGCTCTGTTTGTTGTACGGATCTTTGCCGCGCAAGATCCGACCCGAATGCTCATTCCTCGCCACGAGGCAGCCCTGGCCAGCCCTAGTTGTGAGCGAAGTCGAGTGGGCTGTCCCCGAAGCTCTCGGGGCCAGCCCAAGGGGCCAACATCGCCAAAACCATACTAGTTGCAATGATGCTATCCCGCTCGCAGGCGCGACCTTGAGATCGTCCCAAATAGCTTACGAAATCGCCCTAGGCGACTCCCAAGCCCTCTTCTTCTGCTGTTGTTTTGCCTCTTTCGTGCCCTGGGGGCCCTCGACAGGCCTCGACATGGTCGAAAACGGCTCAGGACGAAAAGCTGGCCCTGGGAAAAGCCCCAGGGCTCCAGGAACATTCTCTCGGCAGCGCGCCTGGGGGGAAGTGGGAAGGAGGAGGTCTTCTCAGAAGGCGGCGAGGCTTTTTAGAAACCCCGCCGCCTTCTGTGAAGCTTTCCGTGTCTTCGGGGAAGGCTCAGAAACTGCTCAGAAGGCTCGGGGATTTCCGAGCCTTCTGAGAAGGCCCGCCCCCTGTCACTTCCTCCACGGGCTCGCCGCCGAGAGGCGGTCCTGGGAAGAGCCCTGGGTCGCAGGCCTTGAGGTTGACACCAACACCAAGATCGGCGGTGTGCCTCCACCGAGGGAAGACGATCCCGACCTCGGTGATGGTGGTAAGATTCTGGCTTCTAAGGTGACCGAACTATTACCACCAACACCGAAATCTAGGATCATCTTCCCCATGTGGAGGCCACCCCCTGTGCTGGTGTTGGTGCCCACTTCCAGGCCTCCAACTGGGGCCTCTCCCAGGACGCCGAGGCGAGGGCCTCCGGGGCGCAGCAGGGGCTCCAGGAGGAGGAGGAGGAGGAGGAGGAGGAGGAGGAG